AAAGTTGCAAGTCAGCGTCTGGAGAATAATGGAGAGCTCTTGCCACTGTCTGCTCCTCCCCCACCCCCCAAACTAGTTCTGGACTCTCCACTCCCTCTGCCCCCATCTAGTCCTCCTTGCAATGGGCACTTTGGGAAACACTGCTGTCTGATCAACGTTACCTAATGTCAAACAAATTCTCTCTCAAATAAAGGTGGAAGGTACCATAATCCAGCGGCGAGATGGGGAATCAGGGGATCTGGATTTTGGCCCTGGCAGAGATTTACTTGTAAAAGTCAGTCTGCCTCTCTGTATCTCAGTTTCCCGATGTATAAAATGTGGATAATGACACATCCTCTTTTGTAAAGCTCTGTGAATCGAGTGTTATCATTAGTAAAGGGGGTGGAGGGAGGAGGGTCAACATAAACCCAGGAACTCTTTAGTTACTTTCAAGACTTTTCAATAAAACGCTTTAAGGAATCATTTCAAACTAGAGGTGGGTTAAGCTGTAAAATGCGGGTCTGGCTACAAATCTGGATCCAGAGCTCCGGTCTAAGCCTGTTGCTAACTCAAAATTTGCACAGAAAGCAAAGCCCGTTGTTCATTCTTTCATGAGTTCTGATCAGGTCAGAAGTTTATTTTCTGCTACATGCTAAGTTAATGTCTTCGTTTCTTGTGATTCTACAGCATGTCCCCGATTTCACACCCGAAAAGCTATTTCTAAAACTGTTAGTCGTCCAGCATCTGCTGCTGGCAAAACCAAAGAGACACAGCCACTAGCTCCTAGTGAACCTGGAACAAAGTTAACACTGTTAGAAGTTCCTTCTATCCACACCGGACCGGATCACAGACCTCTAACCTATGAGGAAATGGAGGAGATTGGGAAGAGATGCAGAGATAGGAAACGATGGGAGAAGGTACTGCATATCTACAGAGAAATTATTCATTTACTTATGCTTTGCATTTCAGGCCTTCCCATGTGTCTGACAGATTGAGGATGAAATAGCAGTTTAGAAAAAAACAAACCAAAAC